CAAATATGCATGATAGATTTTTGTTTTCTTTTTGACTATTAAAATAAATTTGATATAAAGTTATGCAGAAATTTGTTTCACTAGTAGGGGCCTAGGTATTGATTGAATTCTTGTTTAGGAGACGCTGATCTTGTTTGTGTCTGACATAAAAGTATACAGTTGTTATAGTTAACTGGTTCATATTTTCACTACATTTTGGTCTGAGATATTAGTGACAACTTGTTAGAGTCTTGGACAACTTTGCGTTCTGAAACATAAGTATAGTGCGGTAGGTAACTGGTTCGGGTTTTCAAAAACTTTCAGTTGTTAGAATAGCATACTAATATATTAATGTTAAAGATCACTGGTTGATGTATTTGACAAATTTCTGGTGTAATTTGATAAAGAGAAGATCAAATAATAAATTGACATTATAGAAACACGTCTGATATAACATCAGAATTACATGTAAAGCAAAGGTTTATCTTGTAACACTTAGATATGTTATGACGTCTCAAAAACTGGTCGTCATTCCCACTGACAACGTTATATCTGCTTTAACAATGCTATTATACGTGATATCATTCGTCGTATGCACGTGCACGAATTCTGCAGCAGATTTTCAGTCCAAAAATTGTATTTGCAAGACTGATAATATATATTTACCCGGTCACTGTCAAGTATACCGTAGTTTTAGTTAATATTAATTTTGTAAACAGTATTTTAACAAAGACAACGTAAATAAGTGGTCATGACGATGACTGTATTAAATATTTAAATCCAATACATCAGCCGCCCTGACCTAACAGCACATGATTCATAGCTGTGATTCAGTGAAGCGTCACTTTTTTGTAGCCAACATCGATATTGTTCCGTATAAATATATACAATAATATAGTGTAGAAAATTGCAAAAGGAATTCAATAATTTTCATATATGTTTGACTTCCTCGTTGATGTATTATTGCTATGGATTAAATGATAAAGCTGGCGGTAATATTCGTATTATATAGTGTTAATTAGTTGCTGTTTTGTTGTGATTAATTAAAGGGAAGTAACTGGTAAGAGAGTATTTATGGTTATTGAGGTAGCATAAGTTTTCTTTCCTTAACTTAATTGCTGGTCTTTATGGTAATATCACTGAGCCCATAAGAAACAAGAAATGAAAAAGCAAAATCATCATATATTTGTAATAAAAATGTAGAAGAAATTATGTGAGCGTTAATACTGTCTACATTAATTTGTGCCTCGTACATGCATTAAACATTATACTACTTAACTCTACTTTAATCATACAAAATGAGTAGTAAATGTATATATTATGATAGTCAAAATATTTTGAAATCTAAAGCTAGATTCTGTGATATGTTTGTTCTGGGACATTGCCCATACACAAAACAGCTTAATCTTTCAACTCAAAGTACAATAAGTTAGACTGATACTATCCAGGATAAGTTGTCATTTACATTGACCTCGAGTCAAAAGAAAGTGTTTCACAGGTTTTATAATGTGACTTTGGCAAGATTAATGTAATGACAACAATATAAGATTTTTATATATGACATATTATATTACAGAAATTTTCAAAATATGTGACCTAATAAAAAATAACAATAGTTTAAGAAATGTATGAATATTAAAAATCCATGTAACTCTTTAAACAAGAAAAATAGAATTTACTGTTTTAATCACTGTATGGAATAAGTAATATGTTTTACATATTTTATAATTCAAACTTATGCGGATATTTAAAGCCATGGGCTAGCTTTAAGAACAATTCTTGGCTAAATCTAAGAGATTTTAAAGTTTTAAATGCTTTTTTAAAGCCCTTTTAATTTAAAAAAAAAAACAAGAAATTCCCAAAGTATATTTAAAAAGGGTATTTTAAAAATGATAAAGGGGTTTTATAAAATACTTTGATCCCAAAACCCCAGGGAAAATTTTTAGAAAAAAAATCATTTTTCCTATCGTCGAAAAAGGGATTGCCAAAAAATACCTTTTGGTTTGCTTGTAAAAAAGAATTGAATGTGCACTTGTTAATTCAAACTTGATAATTTACGGAACAGACATAGAACGTGTAAGATTTTTAGCCCGACTTCTTTGGAAAAAAATGCTGTTTCTACTATTGCCGTCGGAAAACTTTAACTTGGTAATATTTTTTTTATTTCTCAATGGATTGCCTTCATACTTTGACACGACAACTTTTTCGGACAAGACCTTCAAGTTTACCAGATTAAATTTTACCTTTACTCTTAAATGACCCTTTACCCCTTTAAAAGGGCATATATTTGAAAAATTTTTCCTTGATTTTTCTATAATTGGGGTAAATTTTTCATCTATAAAAAGACGTCCTTTTGAACTTTGGGTACAAAAATCCAAAAAAATTTTTTAGAAATTTTTAAAACCCCCAATTTTAAGTTTTATAAATTTATTAAAATTATAGGGCCCCCCAAAAAACTTTTCCCCCAATGGTCCCCCCCTTGGGGTAAAACTTTTGGTTTTTTTAAAAATTATGGTAAAAATTTGAAGGTTTATACTTTGGTACCCCCAAACCCAAACCCGGTTTTGTTTTGGCTTGAAAAAAATTTGAAATAAGAAAAACCTTTACATATATTTTACCTTGAAAGACCCTGCAAACCCAATTTTTCTCCCCTTTACCCTATCTTTAGGATAATACTTAGTGACTTCAAAATTTAAAAATAGGTTTAAAACAAAAATAACCTTTTTTTGTAAAATTTTTGGAATGGGTTTCCCCCCAAATATGTCCCTTTAATTTAACCCGGGGAAACTGGGGAAAAATTCCCTTTTTTTTTTTGTTTTTCATTTTTAATTTTGCCGATTTCCAAAATACAAATAATAAAATTTAGGTCCAACCCAAAAGGGTTTCATTAAGAAAAGGTTTAAAAATCCCCCTTTTCCTTTGGGGCCCCGTTCCATAAAAGTGGTTTTTTCCCAAAACCATAATAATAAACAATTTTTTAAACAAAGGTTTGGACACAATAATTCAAGTTTCCAAAACTTTTCCAAAAAGGTGTCACTGTCCCAAGGAAAATAAAATCTTTAAAATAATTTTGATAGGAAATTTTGGCCCTTTTTAAAATTAAAATTCTTTTATCCCTTTCCCAAAACCCCCGAGAATTTTCGAGTAAATTGCCCTACCTTGGGAAAAAAAACTGTTTTTTTATATTAAAAACTCAAATTCAAGCAAAAGGGTTTTTAATTTCCCTTTTAAAAGTTGATTTTTGAACATGGAATTTTGACCCACCCAAAAAAACCCAGTCAATGGTCTTTAGAAATTTAAGAATTTGCAGGTTTGTTTTCAAGCTATATAGCAGTCTTTTTAAAAATTTCCCCCGAAATCACCACAAAACAAAATTTGGAAAAGGGAATAACTTTTTCCCCCAATATTTTCTACAAAAATAATTTATTATGTTTAAAAGAAAAAATTGTCAAAAAAAAATAGAATAAAATCCCTCTTCTAATGTTTGTTACTACCATACCCAAAAGTCACGTTGGGGGGGGAACCTTTTTAATTTTTGTAGGGTTATTTGTTAAATTTAAAGGGAACCCTAATTTCTGTTAAAAAATAAGGGGGGGTAATAAACTTTTAAAAAATTAAAAAATAAATTTTTTGGGAGGAAATACCCTAATGCCATGAAATTTGGGGAAATTTTCAATTTTTAAATTTAAAAGGGAACGGTTTTTTTTGAAAATTAAATCAAAAATTAAATTAAATTAATTAAAATGAAAATCCCCAATTAAAGAAAAAAATCATTTCCCCCCAAAAAAATTTAAAAGAATGTTTTTAAAATTTTTAAAAATGGAAGAACCTAACAACAAAAATTTAATGAAAAAAATGAATTAATAAGTATGAATGAATGTTTTATAATATATTTTAAGCGTTTGGTTTTGTAAATATTTCGCTTCATTTAGTAATTGAAGGTGAAACGAAAACATAGGAAACAAATATAAAAATTGATAATTTGATAAATTATCTGAAAAAAGAAGATAGACTAATAATATTAGAAATAATCGTCAGAGAGGGCGGGGCGGTTATGGTTAATAGTCTTCAATATAGTGAAATTTATGAGATTTGTTGAAAATATTTGATCTGATAAAGATTTTTTTTTCGATCAATTTTATGGCGATAAAAGAAGAAAAAGTATAAAAAAATAGGAAAAGTTAGATGCTATTCTCTCATATTTCAACAGTATATTAGTATAGGTTAAATGTTTCTGTAGCGTGTAAGCTCACACCATCTGTGTTTATGTTATACTAAGCACCTGTAGAGATTTACCTGATACTGTGGATGCAATGTTGGTTAGCTCAATATTATGATTGTGTAGTATAGAGGAATCACATTCCTTCACTGTTCCTCAACGTAGACGTTCTCACAGTCGCAAGTGTTGAATCCAAACCGGCAAGTGTATTTGAATTGTTATTGGGAATAAATACGTGTGTGCATTGTTGATTGGTTATTAAACAGTTAGGCCAGGAGATTTGAAATGGGAAATTTGTGTGCCAAAAAGCAGAAAGAAGTTCGTACGGACGGACAGGGCGATGCTAATGGTGTGTATGCTATGTATTTTAGTTAAATATTTTACGGTATTTGAAGCAGAGCGTGTTGTAGAATGTGATGATACTTGGAAGATTTGACTAGATGCCAGAATTGAGAGACTTTTACACGATTTCATCTCTACATTATTTGTATATAACTCGCTGCTACTCTTGAAGAAATTTTATCTAAACTGTTGATTACGTTTCTCTGATATTATATCTTAAGTGATATGTCTGTCTGGGGGAAGTTAGCGGAGGATACATTAAACATTTATCTTGTTGTAGTAATATATATATAACATAATTTACTACATTATCATTTACAAGACAAACAGAATTACCAAAGTAAATCTTAGTATACTGTATATGAAAACTTAAAACATCATGTTATATATAACTGTTTTTGAATATATATTATTAACATTATTTATTTATTAAGATATTTTTTTTTTCATTTTTTTGCAGCTCTCAAGGATGTTCGTGTTGTATTTGTGATAGGTAAGTTGATTATATCACTTTATATTTCACTAAACTAAACAAATATAATAGCATATATATTTATATTATATACGTGACAAAACTAAGTTCATCTTCTAAACAGTAACCAAGTGACTGTGCCACGCCTTTCACTGATGCTATTACAAATCAATACATATAGTCTCCAGATTGAATAGTACAGAGGTTAGGTTAAAAGTTAACGCCTTAAACTCATTGTACAAGGCAAGAAAAACGTTTGTATAGACATGAGAAGATGATAAATCCAGTCATATGTTTATAAAAAAATTTTTTTTCCAGTTATTCTAAAGGCACAATATGCCTCAAAAATTAACAATATTTTTCTTCTTAATTTGTTTTATCATGTTTAAATAATGTGTTAAATGTGTTAAAAGAAGCATATAAGATGCTAATGACCGAAAGTTAGTTGGACTGAACGGAAATAATTTGTAGTAAAGATAGCAAATCTTATACAAATTGTTTTTGACTTTCGTACAAAATACTAAATCACTCGAACGTAATCGTTGCCAAAAAGCAAAAGAACGAAAGGAAAGTTCAGCCAATGGGTACTTTTCGGCAGTTGTAACAGTTAGAAAATAAATGTTTTGAGAAATGAAAAATAATAGCATTTTTAGGGCTTAATGGGCCTTTGAAAACACTAGCCTTTAACGTTAGAAGTCCTTTAACTCACATTTAGTATTTTTTCCCCAAAAATGCAATACAAATGAGAATATTTCTTTATATGAACCGTGTCACGACAAAACCAACATAATGGGTTTGCGACCAGCATGGATCCAGACCAGCCTGCACATCCGCCATTATGCTGGTTTTGTCGTGACACTTCTCATATGTATTTTTGTAGCAGACGTCATTATGTATGCATGTTGAGTAAATGTGTACGCGTACAAATAGCTTTCATACAAGTAAACGCTATTAATTGTGTAACCAAATTTTGTACTGTTATTCATAATGTCGTATGTACATGTACATTGTACTTTACACGTGCACATTTTGTATATGAATGTATAAATGGTGTTGTACTTTGGTTCTTATAAAGAGAATGTGTACAATAAGTAGACAAGGTGTATAAAATTACTTATGTAAGTAAATTATCAAACTATTATAAATAAATGAATGTTAAACAGGGTATTTCTAATACAAGGTAAATGTTAACAAAATATATATGCAAATAAATATGCGATAAAGTCCCCTAAGAATCGTGAAGCATCTATAACAATTTATATTGCATTTATTTTCATAAAGTAAAAGAATAATTAATGTTGTTTATGTACAGAATTGTGGTGGATCTACATATATTTCACCGTTTCTAGTCAATGTTTTAACTTGATAATATAATAGGTTAGATAACTTAAAACTAGATAACTTCAAGAGTTTAACTTTGTTCGGCTGTACGTATATGTTAAATTAGAATGTCGCGCCATTAAAACATTTCTCCTCGTAAAGAAACACACTTTTTTGAAATCTTAGTATTGACGATTTAAATGTTGATGGAAGAAAACAAAAATGTTCCTTAAACTACTGTCTACATTATTATATACATTTTTCATATATTAACATTGTTTCATACTCCACGTATCCATTTTTAGCCAACCATCCATAAAAGTACTAGTACACTAGCTTAGTTCTTTGAATGGTGGACAGAATGTAAACTCAAGAATTTGTTTTGAATGTCACCACTCGAACCTATTTAACCGGAAGGAAATAAGTCTTTAAATTAGGTACTGATAAATAACATGGCAAAATTTGAAAATAGCTATCCATTTAATAAGTACGTTCAGTATTTTAATTTTATAAACGAAATAGAACATTTTAATTAGAACAATCATTTTATAACTCACCTGAGCTGGCTCATGGCGGGCTTTTAGGACTGTCGTCAGTCGTCCGTCCACATTTTGTTCGTTAACACTCTAGTGGTCACATTTTTGTCTCAATTGTCATCAACCTTGTCAAGATGTGTGTCAAAGTAATTGCTTGAACGAGTACGAACATGGGTCATCTCGGATGAAAAACTAGGTCACATGAGCCAAATACATTGTACATAAAAAATCTTGCCACTCTAGTGGCTACTGTATTGGTCCAAATGTCCCGGAAATTGATCATAAAGGTTCTTTTAGATGATTTCTAGCTTGAGCTCGAATATGGGTCATCTCGGATTAAAAACTAGGTCACAGGAGCCAAATTCATTGTATATAATAATCTTGTTAACACTCTAGTGGCTACTGTTTTGATCCAAATATCCTGGAAATTGTTCTTTTGATGATTTCTAGTTCAAATTCGAATATGGGTCACCTGGGGTCAAACACTAGGTTACATAGCCCAAATATAAAAAGCTCTTTTTAACACTCTTGGGACGTCTGTTTTAGTCCAAAATATCCTAAAGATTGGTCAGAAAATATCCTAGAGATTGGTCAGAAAATTGTTTAGTTTGTTTCTAGCTCAAGTTTGAATATGGGTCATCTTGGGTCAAATACTAGGTCACACAGCCCAGATATTTTTTTAGCTTATAAACACATTAAATTCTAATCAACCGCGTTGATGATAGAAATTATATTATGTTGACCGAGTGATATATCATTTCCAGTGTGTAGAAAACAAAAATAGTGAATACATTTTAAAGAAGCTAAGGTTTTTCGATATTCGAGACATATTTTAACATAATTTAAATTAATTTCTAGTAAGCGTAATTGTATTCCGTTAGTCCGTTCGTCAGTCCGTTCTTATGATTTGTATGTACAGGGTTATATCAGCGTTTTGTCCTCTCAAATGTACCCGAATACTTTCAAATCTAATGTATTTACATTAAATGAATCTCTATTATGTCGTGCAGTCAATGTCATGGAACATAAGTTTGTCTATTTTTCGTTATATCATAGATAATAAGTTTGTTATAACCGCTGTCTTAGGGAGGAGTTTGAAATTTATTTGGATAAAGTCATCGGGGCTTTAACTTGATTTTGAAAATGCATATAGTGGTGTCACCGGCCGGCTTGTTGTTGTTGTTTGATTTTTTTCTGAAATTTTTCTTGGGGGGGGGGGGGGCGTATTTCACTTCTTCACTTCCGGTAAACGATCTATTTTCCCGAGAGAATATATTCCCGAACAAAATATTTCACTGTTATTTTAAGTAAGCTTGGCGATGATTTCACTTTTCAATGAACTGACTTACATAATATTTTCATTCATAGGTATTCCGTTGTCATTCTTATCACAACAAAATAATAATTTAACAATCCACAACTAGCGAATATATTGCTAAATTATACACTTTAACCAGGTCTAACTACCTAAAATTGCAACACTCATTTCCCATATTTGGCATAACAAGGCCAATCTTCCAGTTCAAAAAAACTGTCCCAATCCGTGCCCTGTCTCATTGCTAAGCATTGATGATATTTCTGCATTTACAGCAATTACATCCAAGTTAACAACGACAGAGTATCTTACTTAAAGTTGTTATACAATTACTATATACTAGTAGATCACGTTTTTGTAAGCTATATTATCTTGTAGGTCGAATCGCTGATTCAGAATGATATTTCAAAGTTGTTTGTAAAAATGATATTTGAGCCGTGTCATTACAAAACCAACATAATGCGTTTGCGACCAGCATGGATCCAGACCAGCCTGCGCATCCGCGCAGTCTGATCAGGATCCATGCTGTTCGCTATCAGTTTCTCTACTTATAATAGAGTTGATAAGCGAACAGCATGGATCCTGATCAGACTGCGCGGATGCGCAGGCTGGTCTGGATCCATGCTGGTCGCAAACCCATTATGTTGGTTTTGTCATGACACGGCTCATTTAATTTTTAATTCAGCAGAAATCCTTATTAAAAGTCAGTTAGCGCTATTTTCGTAGCCGTTATTCTATATTTCTATTGATCAGGCATTGTTTATGATTGTGAATAAATATAGAATTGATATATCACGACCCAATGCAATATTAACCCTGGTTACATTAGTTATTCTTTGCTTATTGAATAAAATGTTATAAGATGTAACCCGGGAGGTGTAATTTGAATCTTTGTCTTATATGAAATGCTGAAAGTTCTTGATCACGAACAAGAAGAGGACCTGTTTAATATTATGAACATGAAAATCAAGTTAAGCATTAATTCTTTTGAAAAAATGATGTCATGGTGTTTACCGTGCATTTAAAGGCCCATTATGCATAAGAAATGCTTTCGTTTCTATTTCTCGAAAGCTTTTAAATTTTGGTGTACTTTTATATAGTGTCCGAAAAGTTACTCATTGGCCAATTACATGAACCTTCTCTTTCATCTGTTGTTTTTTTGGCAATGAATACCAGTTTTAGTGATTTAGTATTTTGTATGGAAGTCAAAGTACTATTTTGTTTGCATTTTGCTACTTTGACGATAAATTATTTCGCATATATCGCTACATTCTTCAGGTAACGAACATGTATGAACATTCTCTATTAAAACCATTATTTAAACATCATAAAATTCATATTAGAATGGAAAAAATGGTTCTGAGGCATGACTTGCCTTTATTGTTTTTCACGAAATTGCGTTGTCTTTGTCTTTGTTTTTTTTTTTATTATTAAAATTGATTCATTTATTATTTATGATTATATTCTGTAATTTATTCATGACCCTGAGTCCAACGATATCAAAAGGTTGTACATTATATAACCAGAAATAATAGGTAACAGAAAAAAGATACGGATAGAGTGTTTATTTACGTGCTCTGTAATAAATTTTGATAAATTTATATAAGAATAAACAAAATAAGTGTAAAGTTTATTTCTACCATCAGATTGTCTGTTTATATATATTGTTTATGTTTAAACTCAAGGAAGTGAAGTGTATGTACTAGATATGTAGATTTCTAATTACCAGGTGACTGAAAAGTATATGAATTTACTTTCCGTGTCTAATGTAATGGTACTTTTCTGGAATTTAGCAAGAATACAAAAAAACGCACATATGTATAGCAGATGTGAAAAGAATGTCTGTTTCACAATAAGATACAATATAATGATGTATGACATCTTACGAGCTTTACTATAATATGTCCTTTTATTGGGGCATATTTGTGGTAGGGATTTGTTCCAATTTTGTAATGTTTTGATGGCGTCTAGCAGATATATAATTATATTGTTATAATATTCTATATTTACAATTGTTTCTGACTGGTAAAACATCACGTAATATATAAGGGACTATGATAATGTTAAAAAGAAGTCTATACATATCAGCGTATTTATAAATCCTATGTATGTATGAAACCAAGTATAATGTAAAGAGGATAGCAATGCTCGGATGTTTTATAATCAATTATTGTTGAATAGATAAAATATATATTATAATTTTGTACCCCAAAACTACATATTATAAATTTAGTTCGAGTTTTTAACCTTTGACCTTACCGAAAGTAATTATTCATTCCTGCAGTCTGACCAGACTGTTGGTAACTTAAGTTTTGTATTTTTTATACAGAAAACCATGAAACTTTGAATGGATTATAAAGAGCAAACTCATTACACAAAAACAGCAAGACAAGGGTTAAATACCAATCATACATAAATAGTTCGAAGCAAGTGTATGCAGCTTATTTAATGTTAATATGTATCAAATGAAGAATCAATCGATTGATTACCAACTGTTTAAAATAAGTGAGCCATAGATTGACGAATTTTCTTTAATCTTTTGGATGGAGATCAGCGCACAAGAGAGTTAACCATGCATGCTGTGTGCAAGTCTGTTTTTCTCATCTTTTGAAACATAAATTGAAATTAACTTCTAAAACTTATACTATAGCCAAAACTAACGACTGTTTGGGAGTTGTATCAGATCAAACTGTTGTCTATCAGCATTTATTGAGTAACGTAAAATTGTTTTGTTGCCAAAGCAAACTTTATCAGAAATATGCTGCAGCCATTATTCTGACAGTAGCAATTTTGTTTTAGTTATGTATTGATGCAGGAACGTTTATTGACATTTGATATACATGTGTTTTTATTTCCCTTTGAATATGCGAAACATGAAAAATTGCCAAAATCTTAACTTGGTCTAGTTTTGTTTTTAAATAAAATGCAACATTATAAATATTTTGATAGTGCAATGTTCTCGTGTATATATTGCAGACTACCTATTTAGTTTAACCTGCTAGACTACTTAAGTTCCAATTAGTGAACATAAAACGCGTGTTTTATTGTAAGTATTTAAGGAGACTATTATGATTCGCATATTTTCTATAAGAATCCACATGCAGCTGTATATTTGTAAACGATAGAAACATAGATTATATTGTTATATGTTTTACAATTTGCTAGGATTTCTTTATTAGTGACATGTTAAGACATATTGTTTGACTTTCCAATACAAACGTGTAAAAGATGTCAAAGGCCCTACGGTAGGAGCAGTTACGCCTTTTTTAATGTCTCGTGCATCATTTATCCGACCTCACCTGTATATATTTATAAATTTACTTGGGTACATTTTTCATTTCATGCAATTGTTAATATTACAGAGTATTACATTACATGTGGGTTACTAATAGTAACCCAGATTACATATATGTGTTGGTATAACTTACACTTTTATAACACCATTGATCAACTGAGTGTATGCCACCATCTGTCACATAATTATATTTCTGCATTGATACACTTTAAGTTAAAAATCAATTGTATTTGTATATACATGTAGTAAATGGTGTTAACTGTTACCGTGTTTGATTTTGTATAGAAATTTATCTTTCTTTTAACCCGTGCCATTTTTGCGACTCCGTAATAGTGGCAAGGCACGGTTGTGCATATATTATTTTGGCGAAGGTTCATTACTAAATTTATTGAACTGGTTGAACAAAAATAATATTATGCTCACTAAAGGCTCTCATAATATAGTTTTATTCAACTCATTCAATAAATTCAGTATTGAAATACAATCATTCAATATATTCTTTATATTTACATGTATATTCGTTATAGCATTAAAAGTTTGAAATGTTTTGTGAATAATTGCTTATATATAGAACAGCAATCGATCGTTACATTGTGCAGTTAAAAGATAGCGTTAGCCTAATAGGTGAAACATACAGTGGATGTGAACCAAGTTTAAATTTTGTTATTTTACAGTTTAAGAAACATTTCAATCTAAGTACAAATGGATAGCCAATCAATTAACAGTTATATTGTGTTTATAATAGGAGGCCCCGGAAGTGGTAAAGGAACACAGTGTGAACGTATTGTCGAGAAGTATGGATTTACTCATTTGTCGTCTGGTGATCTCCTCCGAGCAGAAGTCGCTTCCGGTTCAGCACGTGGCAAGGAACTTACAGCTATTATGGAGAAAGGCGAACTTGTTCCTCTGGTAATTATATTTTCTCTTTCTCGATGTCTTGCTTTAATGAGAAAATGATTTTTTTTTCTAATTCATGTTAAATTCTGTCAATGGATTGCTCTGCTAAGATACGAAGTATGGGTAGAATTTGTTATAAACTTAATCAACCCGTTATCAAATGATTTGTTTTTTTCCCTATTTCTCTTATCTGTAATTAGCAATTTAAATGACCTGTAATGTTGATAAAGATAATGTTTGTTCGTGTTTTTTTTCTACGATTAATTACCGCTCAATGTAACCAAAGTATCGCTCCACTCCATCCTTTTAGCTGTTTAAATCGTTTATGTTTTCTTATTAACGTCTGACTATAGCATAAACATCATTAATTATATAAAGACTTTTATCATCGGATTTTCTACATCAAATGAAGATCACATAACATGCATTTATTATATTATCTCATAAGACTGTTTTGCATCATTTTCATATAGAGGTCTATGTATATTGCAGGATACAGTTTTACAACTGTTGAAGGAAGCCATGTTGGCGAAAGCATCAACAAGTAAGGGATTTTTGATTGATGGATACCCGCGTGAAATGGAACAAGGAACACGATTTGAGAAAGAGGTGGGTAATTGTACTCTAGATATGAAGGGCTAGTCATATTGGTCTTACTTATTGGGTAAATAGCTAGGCCTATAAATCCCAAATTCGTAACTTGAAGGATTGGTACATGTACTCAATTCCAGACAACGGCTAAAAATTTGTTTTCAAAAGCGCTGTTTTGTATATCTTATCTGATTTTGTTAAAAAACCTGTTTGCAAACTGTCGTTAAACCTTAACTGCTTAACTGTGCATTATGTCTGAAAAAATCAGAGATTAGATTTAGATATAGATTTCTTTACAAGGAAAGTTGCCAACTGGTTGCTAGGTGGAATAGGAACTTGAGAAATCATTAGCCGGTCAGTGACCTTAACATGAGGAAATTAAACATAGACAAGAAAATAGTGTGAAGTTTACTTGAATTATACATTAGCTGTAGCTTCCTTACAATAACGCTAAATATACTAGACGTTATCTCTTTCATATATATATATATATATATATAATATCAGGCAAACATCATAAATACTTAAAAACTGTGGTCGTATGTAGCCGCATGTTGAAACATTTTTGTATTTTTATATATCATAATGTAATAAATATTGTTACATATTTGACAGTTAGGTTAATGATTTAATCATATTTAAATAACTTGAAATCTAATTTACAGGTAGCACCGTGTCAGTTCGCGTTATATTTCGAGGTTTCAGACGAGACTATGACAAAGCGCCTCCTAGGGAGAGCTGAGACAAGTGGGCGTGTCGATGACAACGAGGAAACCATCAAGAAGCGTCTAAAGACGTTTCACGATATTACAACACCAGTTGTAGATTATTATGAAAAAGAAGGCAAGCTGAAAAAAGTAAGCCAAATCTATTACGAAGATGGTAAATGTCATTTAGCCATTATAACCCGAAATATTTGTTCACTCGGCTTGTCTGTCTATATGATATATCAGCCGCGTCACGACAAAACCAACATAATGGGTTTGCGACCAGCATGGATCCAGACCAGCCTGCGCATCCGCGAACAGCATGGATTCTGATCAGACTGCGCGGATGCGCAGGCTAGTCTGGATCCATGCTGGTCGCAAACGCATTATGTTTGTTTTGTCGTGACGCGGCTCATATGTAGATAAGGTCCAAGTCTGGATGGTTTAACGTCTGTTCTCCTGATCTCTGACAAACTTGCAGACAAATTGCAAAATTAACCTGGGTACATTCCTCAAATTCTTTACATATTGAACTCCACTATTACTTATAAATGTGATTCTTCAGTAATTGCAGGGGAATTTTTTAATGTTTTATTATGTCAATATATGTCTCAGTTATTTGGCATGAACTTCCACGAAATGTTGATTACTGTCACACTACAGTTTATCAGTTACGTAATCTCCAAATATAAACTTATCCACCTTTAAAGAATCCACCTTTCTTAATACTGATTATATTTTTTAGTCTGATTTATTTGTGAGTTCTTCAAAGATCTTCGCTTGAATGTCAAAACAAAATTTATGTTCTGTATTACATTTTCTAAAAACTCAAAACTGTGTATTGCGTTTTTTTTCTGAACTCAAAACTGTGTATTTCATTTCCTCTGAAATCAAAACTATAATAAACTACATGTAGTATAAAGTTATAGAATGCAGAATATATATTTTAATATTTATATTACAGGTTGTAGCGGAGTCCGGACCAGACGAAGTTTTCAAAGAGGTAGAGACCATTTTTGATGCTATGCTGTCATCAGGTCAGTTACAAGTTAAACTTACCTTTTTTTTTACTTCACAGTTAAAGATAAATTACTAACAATAATGATTCAATAACAATAAATAATTTAACAATACTGCAACAATTACAACAAAAGCTAACTCTGATATCTGTGTCATAATCACAAAAAAGGAAATATTATGCAAAATGCTGAAAATAATTTATTCATATATATATTATTATATATATATATATATATATATATATATTTGACATATACACATACATATATTCACAGGTGAAATGTACACTGGTATAAATAGACACGCTTAAGATGTTTTGAAAAGTTATAGAAGTCATCGATTCAAACAATCATGTTGCAATATGTTGTAACATTGATGACCCCCAGTACTGTAACATAATCAGTCGCAAATTGATTCATACACACTGGTTATCAACCTTCAAAATCAAAACAATTGTCCAATATTGTTTCTGTAGATGATTGTTCAAGATTAACGTACTTTAACATGTATTAAGTGGCATCGACCAGAGCCACATGCCCATGCTGCTTTACCGTAAAGCAGTATGGTATGGCCGTATATATCACTATATGCAAATGAGTCATTTCACATGAATATGAACTGATGTCATGTTCATAGATGTAATAACATTGATTAAATGTTAATTGATGTAGTTCATTGATGTAATGTTCATTGATGTAATGTTCATTGATGTAATGTTGTATTATTGTTCAATGATGTTGTATTTCATTACATATATTCCAACACCATTTAAATCATTGATTATGCTACAGAACTAATTTTCATAAAGTCTTATTACGCATATGTAACTTTGTTTCCGTTTTTCGGGATATATTAAATTTGTGAAAGTCAGTTTAAATTTGATAAAACTCGATCAATATATTCAAAACAGCGGAATCCACACACGTCCCCTATTTATAATTTATTGTCTGTTGTTTATTTCAGAAAAATCTCCGCTGGCAGATGCAAAAATCATATTTGTGGTCGGTAAGTAACCATTACATTGATTAATACATTCCTCATTTTAGGAACCAGCCACTGCTTGATTTTATTTTCTTTTATGTTTCAGTATGTAATATACAGGTTTTGTTTTGGAAAAACTCCAAACTACACTGTGTTTGACATTTAAGAATCGCTTTATACTAGTTGACACCTTTTATTACGTATTAATCTAAGATTATTATAACCTCATAGATTATACTGCACATAGCTCACGTGTATCAAAGGGGCTTTACTTTCATTTACAGGGACGGAAAGTTCTTAGTTTACTGTTACTTTTTACTTTGTAAAACATCAAACATAAACTTCGTTTGGTATTTAGGCAGTAACATATTCTTTTGTCTTGTATAAACAATAGTAATGTTGTTAGATGCTGGAACATTGTCAATATTGGTACACAAATATAAACGGGTAATTTATTATCTTTGTGATTACATAATAGATGTGATATATATCTGATGTCTTCTATGTCTGTAGCTGATATCATCACATTATTACATACATTGACATTGTATAGTGCAACCTCTCAGAGCGACCTTCTGCTGTGCAAAAATCTCTTTACAATAACAGTAATAGTTCTTCCGAAAGTAAGTAATCATAAAACAAACCCCAAAGTAAAATTTCATAATATAAACCTCCCAAAGTTAGACATCACAATATAAACCTCCCAAAGTTAGACTTCACAATATAAACCTCCCAAAGTAAGACTTCACAATATAAACCTCCCAAATTTAGACTTCACAATATAAACCTCCCAAAGTTAGACATCACAATATAAACCTCCCAAAGTTAGACATCACAAAATAAACCTTCCAAAGTAAGACTTCACAATATAAACATCCCAAAGTTAGACTTCACAATATAAACCTCCTAAAGTAAGACTTCACAATTTTAACCTCACAAAGTAAGACTTAACAATATAAACCTCCCAAAGTAAGACTTCATTTTATAAACCTCCCAAAGTAAGACCTCACAATATAAACCTCCCAAAGTAAGACTTCACAATATAAACCTCCCAAAGTAAGACATCACAATATAAACCTCCCAAAGTAAGACATCACAATATAAACATCCCAAAGTAAGACTTCACAATATAAACCTCCCAAAGTAAGACTTCACAATATAAACCTCCCAAAGTAAGACCTCACAATATAAACCTCCCAAAGTAAGACCTCACAATATAAACCTCCCAAAGTAAGACTTCACAATATAAACATCCCAAAGTAAGACTTCACAATATAAACCTCCCAAAGTAAGACTTCACAATATAAACCTCCCAAAGTAAGACTTCACAATATAAACCTCCCAAAGTAAGACTTCACAATATAAACATCCCAAAATAAGACTTCACAATATAAACCTCCCAAAGTAAGACTTCACAATATAAACCTCCCAAAGTAAGACTTCACAATATAAACCTCCCAAAGTAAGACTTCACAATATAAACATCCCAAAGTAAGACTTCACAATAGAAACCTTCCAAAGTAAGACTTCATTATATAAACATACTTCACAATATAAACCTCAGAAAGTAAGACTTCACAATATAAACCTCATTAAGTACGACTTCACAATATAAACCTCATAAAGTACGACTTCACAATATAAACCTCCCAAAGTAAGACATCACAATATAAACATCCCAAAGTAAGAAACTTCACAATATAACCTCCCAAAGTAAGACTCCCACCAAAGTAAGACTCAAAGTAAGACCTCACAATATAAACCTCCCAAAGTAAGACCTCACAATAATATAAACCTACCAAAGTAAGACTTCACAATATAAACATCCCAAAGTAAGACCTCACAATATAAACCTCCAAAGTAAGACTTCACAATATAAAACCTCCCAAAGTAAGACTTCACAATATAAACCTCCCAAAGTAAGACTTCACAATATAAACATCCCAAAAATAAGACTTCACAATATAAACCTACCAAAGTAAGACTTCACAATATAAACCTCCCCAAAGTAAGACTTCATAATATAAACCTCCCCAAAGTAAGACTTCATAATATAAACATCCCAAAGTAAGACTTCACAATAGAAACTTCCAAAGTTAAGACTTCATTATATAAACATACTTCACAATATAAACCTCAGAAAGTAAGACTTCATAATATAAACCTCCAGAAAGTAAGACTTCACAATATAAACCTAAGACCATTTAAGTAAGACTTCATAATATAAACCTCCCAAAGTAAGTACGACTTCACAATATAAACCTCATAAAGTACGACTTCACAATATAAACCTCATAAAAGTATAAACCTCCCAAAGTAAACAATATAAACCTCCCAAAGTAAGACTTCACAATATAAACCTCCCAAAGTAAGACTTCACAATATAAACCTCCCAAAGTAAGACTTCACAATATAAACCTCCCAAAGTAAGACTTCACATAATATAAACCTCCCAAAGTAAGACTTCATTAATATAAACCTCCCAAAGTAAGACTTCATAATATAAACCTCCCAAAGTAAGACTTCATAATATAAACCTCCCAAAGTAAGACTTCATAATATAAACCTACCAAAGTAAGACTTCATAATATAAACCTCCCAAAGTAAGACTTCATAATATAAACCTACCAAAGTAAGACTTCATAATATAAACCTCCCAAAGTAAGACTTCATAATATAAACCTCCCAAAGTAAGACTTCACAATATAAACCTCCCAAAGTAAGACTTCACAATATAAACCTCCCAAAGTAAGACTTCATAATATAAACCTCCCAAAGTAAGACTTCATAATATAAACCTCCCAAAGTAAGACTTCATATATAAACCTCCCTAAGTAGACTATAATATAAACCTCCCAAAGTAAGACTTCACAATATAAACCTCCCAAAAGTAAGACTTCACAATATAAACCTCCCAAAGTAAGGACTTCACAATATAAGCTCCCAAAGTAAGACTTCACAATATAAACCTCCCAAAGTAAGACTTCACAATAGAAACCTTCCAAAGTAAGACTTCATTATATAAACATACTTCACAATATAAACCTCAGAAAGTAAGACTTCACAATAGAAACCTCATTAAGTACGACTTCACAATATAAACCTCCAAAAGTAAGACTTCACAATATAAACCGCATAAAGTACGACTTCACAATATAAACCTCATAAAGTACGACTTCACAATATAAACCTCAGAAAGTAAGACTTCACAATATAAACCTCAGAAAGTAAGACTTCACAATATAAACCTCAGAAAGTAAGACTTCACAATATAAACCTCCCAAAGTAAGACTTCACAATATAAACCTCCCAAAGTAAGACTTCACAATATAAACCTCCCAAAGTAAGACTTCACAATATAAACCTCCCAAAGTAAGACTTCACAATATATATACCTGCCAAAGTAAGACTTAACAATATAAACCTCCCAAAGTAAGACATCATAATAAAAACCTCTCAAAGTAAGACATCATAATAATCTATAAACCTGAAAAAGTTGGATATAAACCTACCAAAGTACGACTTCACAATATAAACCTCTCTAGAACAATACCTCTCAGCAACAGCCAAAGGCTTTGTTTATGAAAGAGCGTTGCTCCACAGAAGTTTTACTGTACAAATAACATATTATGTTTTTAACATGTTTTGATACGAATGCAAGATTATAATTATCTCAGCAGAAATTTCAATTTATTTTAGTCTGTTAAATAAACTCCATTTTGAAAAAAACAACTTATCTATACGGGCATTAACCTTCCTGAAATGTTGAAAATCTCAGATAACATCTATACAGTAAAAACACATTGAATACAAACACCAAATCAATATTATAGTGAGCACAATTTCGTTATCATTGAAATAATAAGTGTTATAAAACTTATTCATGGAAAGATAAACGGAGAAATATGAATAATATCGATGTAAGGAAAAATGAAACTATTTTCCAGAGGATTTTAATAGCGCTTCTGTTATTTCAAAGGGGGTTGTAGCAGTTTTGTTTTTCTTTTCTTTTTTCTCGCTATTGTTATAGATTTTTATTTTTTTATTTTCTGTGTTATTGTTATAGAATTATGCACATATTTCATAAAAAAATATCACTAGTTTGTTGAGATTGTATGTTTTGTATATTAGCTTTGTCATTACATGCTAGGTCTATAAATATTCTTGAAATCATTAAAAAAGTCTCTTCTTACTTAAGGTCTTGATTTGTTTGGTTTGTAGGTATGGTAGATCTTTGCCAAGTTTGTTCAATTCATAATCCTAAGGGTCACTTAATTTTACATAGATTCACATTGAAAAACCTTCAGGTCCATCTTGACATAAGAGTCTTAGCAAGTTTGACCAGTGGTCATTTTATGGATATTTTTTCTACTTTTGTCATAGAGTCTGTATCTGTTAGCTGAAGTGTTTGATGTAATTTAGGTCAAGGTCACTAAGGCTAAACTATATTTGAGTGCGTGATGACAAAACCAACATAATGGCCGGGTTTGCTACCAGCATGGATCCAGACCAGCCTGCGCATCCGCGCAGTCTGATTAGGATCCATGCTGTTCGCTATTAGTTTCTCTACTTGTTATAGGGTTTGTAAGCGAACAGCATGGATCCTGATGCGCAGGCTGGTCTGGATCCATGCTGGTCGCAAACCCATTATGTTGGTTTTGTCATGACGCGGCTCATTTCTGCTTTGCGTTAAAGACTGATTTTCGCACTCTCCAGAGCATCCTTAGAGATAAAATAGTTACAGTCTATTCACCCAATTGACCGATTGAAATTTAAAATGAATCTTATGTTTTATTCTTAGTGTTTCATAACAACAAATATGTATGTGTGAAACTTAAAATGTCTTCTATTGCTATTCTTCGGCATACAAATGTGTATATTGAAAGACATCACTCATTAATTTTTATATCAATCTAGGTGGACCCGGATCTGGCAAGGGAACACAATGTGCTCGTATCGTAGAAAAGTATGGATTCTGCCATCTTTCATCTGGGGATCTACTTAGAGCGGAAGTTGCGTCTGGTTCAGAACGAGGCAAAAAGCTCAATGAAATTATGGAAAAGGGAGAACTAGTGCCATTGGTATTTTCATTCCTAAACACTTCTTCATTGTACAAAAATGTTCAAATCGTTTTGTTTAGTCATTTAAACGATAGACAGAGTTGCTATTTTGATGAATCTCTGTCAAATACTTTTGCAAAGTCAGCACCGCCTGTAACTACTTCCATATTTTATTCTTGTAAGAAAAGTAGGCTTAGATTTATTTTGGCTGTACATAACCTGAGCAATTTTGGTAAGTTAGTTCAATTATATTGATGCTAATATTTTTAGGACGTTGTCTTAGAGCTTATTAGAGAGGCAATGGTATCTAAACTGTCCGAGACGAAATGTTTCCTTATTGATGGCTATCCACGTGAAATGGAACAAGGAACTAGGTTTGAAAATGAGGTAAATATTAACTATATTGTTATGTTCACTCTAGCATTTAGTCATCATACAGCTGTCATTGTATAGTAATGATATTGAGAAGCTCGGAAAATTGATTTTGTTTATATTTGTTAAAAGTGCATTGTCATTGTTACAAAAGCATTGGAACAAGACATTTTACAGAACACCTCTGTCTTTTGGTACCAACCAGTCACTTATGATTTGTCATATGACGTAATTGTCTAATTGATACAATTATTGGCGACATTTAGTGTTAGGGTATCGTTATTGGCTACATGAAGTGTGTAATTGATATTGTTATTGTCGACATAAAGTGCTATTGGCAACATATAACCGATATGTAATGTTTTGGCGACATATATTGATATTGTAATTGGCAACATATAGTGTTATTGGCTACAGATATTATGTTATTGATATTGTTATTGGCGATTTACTGTGTAACTATTATTTGCGACATAAAGTGGTATTGTTATTGACAACATATGATGTAATTGTTATTGGAGGCATATAATGTTATTTGCTACACATATTATGTCTGTTAGTGTTATTGGCGATATACTGTGTTACTATTATTTGCGACATTTATGTTATTGGCGACATGTATATCGTGTTATTTGTACTATATTTACAGGTTGCCCCGTGCTGTAACGTGTTATATTTTGAAGTATCGGATGATACAATGACAGCAAGGTTGTTAGACAGAGGAAAGACAAGTGGTCGTGTTGATGATAATGAGGAAACTATTAAGAAACGTTTACAGACTTTCCACAATCAGACCCAACCAGTCGTAGATCACTATACACAAAGTGAGAAAGTAATCAAGGTAATAATATCTCTTTATATAGATCACTACACATAAAGTGAGAAATAATCAAGGTAATATATCTCTTAATATAGATCACTATTCACAAAGTGAGAAAGTAATCAAGGTAATATATCTCTTTATATAGATCACTATACACAAAGTGAGAAAGTAATCAAGGTTATATATATGTCTTTATTTAGATCATTTTACACTAAGTGAGAAAGTAATCAAGGTAATACACCTCTTTATATAGATCACTTTACACAAAGTGAACAAATAATCAAGATAATATATCTCTTTATATAGATCACTTTACACAAAGTGAAAAAATAATCAAGATAATATATTTGTATATATAGATCACTATACACAAAGTGAAAAAATAATCAAGATAATATATTTGTATATATAGATCATTATACAAAACGTGAGAAAGTCATCTTGATATAAAAAGTGAGAGGAAGTTATGCCACAAATAAAATATGTCTTTATATAGCTTACTATACACAAAGTAAGAAAGTTATCAGGATAATATATGTCTTTATGTAGATTGCATTACACAATGTGAGAAAGTTATTCATATAAAAATATAGAAAATAATCAAAATGTAATTTCGAATCCTGACATAATTAGCTCGCAAATTCGAAGAATTGCGGGACTGTATTCGGCATATGCTTATCAACCCGTTAGCAATTACATTTCTCAGTATCCATTGAAGGTGTTAGCTTGAAAATTCACATACAATTTCCCTGTCGTAAGTTTAGTTTTAAAAAAAATCCCAAAGCTCTATAAATTTGTATTGAATGATTGAACTTATGGACTGAAAAACTGTATGAGACAGTCGAGGGCGTTGATAATAATTGTGTCATCTTTTAACTTGATATTCTAGTGAGGTATCATACAGTAATATATAGTCTTTATTTTAATTTGCAGGTTCCTGCTGAAGGTTCGGTAGACGAAGTGTTCACACAAGTGCAAACATTCATGAATAGCAAGTCATGGTGAAAATCCTCATTTTCTTCACTACAAAAATGTGACTTTCAGTAGTGGTCACGTGACCTAAAGTAGTGATCATGTGATACCTGTGTATATGAGTATTATGGTATCTTTTTGGTGAACTAAACAAAACAAAAAAGAAAATTAAAAATTAAAACTAAGCTGAGAGTATGTAAAATATTTGGAAGTTAGTAAAATCTACGGCCACTTATGTACAGGCATATCTGTAATTTGAATTTCTAGGCATGCGCATAAAATGTTTAATGTCTTATTTATTTTTGACTGGTTATACAATTTACATCACATGATGGCTAGTTAACGTCACGAGACAGTCAATTTTTACGCAACTTTTAATTTATATTACTTTTTGTCTTCTCTTGTCTATAAGTTTATTATGAGATTAAATGTTTTCGTTGTTTTTATTTATTTATTAGTTTCTAAGGCTTGTAGCGATCTATACATAACTTCTGTGATAATCTTTCCCCTGCATCGCATGGACTTATTTTACAAGGAACGCCAGATGCTTGTTTGCCACCAAGTTTAGTGTTCCTTGATAAATATTATATATTTCAAAAAAATTCCCCGCTGTCAAGTTTAATTGTCATTTTTACTATACAAATGTAACAAATAACAATTAAATTTCTTCTTTAATGACTGGTGTCTTAAGACAAAGTCGATCAGAGTTATAATTAGGTACACGTTTGTTTCTTTAATATTTCGTTTTCTGTTGCAATTCCGAGATATTATTACTCCATTTGATTTCTTTGGTTGCCGAATTTTTCAATGTTTTCTTTACTATTAATAACTCAATTGTCTAAGAAAGACTTGTATTTTCATTGCTTAAGTTTATATTTGAATCTATGAAAGAAATACACCAGTATATATTATGTAGTTACTTACTGAAACATTTGGTCGGTACTAAGTTAACTAGGTATTTATGTGTCGCGAATAGTTCACATTATATAGAAATGTTACGTCTTAATGATATGCAAAGCAAGTGCCTATTTATAAATTTGATGTAAATGAATGACAGGCGGTACGACAGGTGTTTTGTCTGTTTTTTTTGTAGTCCCCTATTCCTTCATCAGGCACGAATTTAAAGTCATAGATATATTATGTTAAATGTGAAGGCACGTTCGGATACGCTTAATTTCTTGAACTGTTCTGTTTTTCTTGCGTTGTTTAAAAACTATTTTAACTTATGACGATATTTTGAAACTATGGATTTATTTATGAAACATTAAAAAACTTAGTTTAAAATATCTGTATTAATGATTTTTTTGTTGTGAGAAGTAAAGTTAAACTGTTTGATAAAATTGTTCATATGTTTATTTTAATTCTTTTGGTCATCGACATTAAACGCTTACTTCTTTTTAAAACGAGTTTCTTTTTATTACCAGCAGTAAATGATGCTGTAATATCTTGTGAAATACTGTTAATTCCAGTTTCCATTTACAACAGCGCCATCTCCGTGGTCGAGATGTTAAAGTCACTGAATATGAATTACTTGCCCCTTGCCGTTATTTTTTATAAATCAACTAAGGATTTATTATTATGTCACGAAGCTATGCAGCTAGCATACAAGTGATCGTAGGTTCTACAAAGATCCTCGCCCCGTACCAGAAATAAATGTACAGAAAGGTGTATGGGACTTTTCCTCTAGGTCAGACTTTGGCATTAATTTTCCCATAGACTTATAATATGAGAAATGGTCCCTAATCCTACCTTAAAATTGAGGTGATTTTGTTCTAGAAGAATGGAATGCCTGACACATAAAAATGGTCTTGTTATATATGATCGTGTTATATAGGGGTAGCCAACCATTTTTTTTTTTGCAAAATGACTTCAAAGAGGATTAACCCCCCCCCCCCTTTTCATTGAAATTTTCTGCTGATCACAGAACAGACACTTTTTATATGCCCGAAAGAATTTCGGGCATATTATGATATACCCCCTGGCGTCCGTCCGTCTGTCTGTCTGTCCGTCCGTTAGCAATTTGGTTTCCGGAGCATAACTTAAGTTCCATTTGGCCCACAATATTCAAACTTCATAGGACGATTGTCCATATTTGGTAGAAGACCCCTATTGATTTTGGGGTCACAAGGTCAAAGGTCAAGGTCACTATAACCTTGAAACTGAAAACAGTTTCCGGAGTATAACTTAAGTTCCATTTGGACCACAATATTCAAACTTCATCGGATGATTGTCCATATTAGGTAGAAAACCCCTATTGATTTTGGGGTCACAAGGTCAAAGGTCAAGGTCACTATTGCTTTAAAACTGAAAACAGTTTCCAGAACATAACTAAAGTTCCATTTGGCCCACAGTGTTCAAACTTCATAGGATGATTGTCCATATTGGGTAGAAGACCCCTATTGATTTTGGGGTCACAAGGTCAAAGGTCAAGGTGATTATTACTTTAAAACTGAAAACAGTTTCCATACCCTAACTTAAGTTCCATTTGGCCAACAGTGTTCAAACTTCGTAGAATGATTGTCTATATTGCGTAGAACACCCCTATTGTTTTTTGTGTCACAAGGTTAAAGTTCAAGGTCACTGTTACCTTAAAACTGAAAACAGTTTCCGGAGCATAACTTAAGTTCCATTTGGCCCACAATATTCAAACTTCATAAGAAGGATAGCTACTTGAAGGAGGTAAAACTTTATTTAATTCCCATGTCTTTCAAATGCTTCATCCTTACTAAAAAACAAAACATTTTCGGGCATATAATGCTCCGCCTAGCGGTGCTCTTGTTATAAATGCAAATATCCAAGTCTCAAATTATCATAGAGACTTTTGAAATATTTCATATTTTTTAGCAAACAATATAGTGTTGGTTTCTTAATTAGTTTTCATACTTAAAACATTCCATTTTCTTCCAATCACCCCATGTTACATTGAATCTCCCTGCACTTTTTTTCAGCCAATCGCTGGCCATATTACAATATGAAAGTCTGACCTCTACTCACTTGATAATTATCATATAACCATGACAAATCTACAAAGAAATTATAACAATAATGATGTATATTACCTCTTATATTGAAAGAATGTAAATACAGTTCTTGATATACAGTAAAATCCCTCTATTAAGACCACTAACGGGACTAACTAATATTGTGTTGAAGGCATACGACTATCCCTACTTTAAAGTTCACAAAAGTGAAACAAATATTTCAAATTTTAGTAACCACATCTAAAACTGTTTATAATCATATAAACCGAAATGTTTTGGTTATTTAGAGAAAAGGGGAGAATAATGCACTAACTTTTATACAGTGCAAGTGTTTGAAGTACAGATACATAAAATGAGTGTGAGAGATTTGGTAGGTTAGCAGTGACATAGCTTTCACATTTGGTATATGAACATGTTAACAGAGAAGAGGAACTGACACATTTGTGTCGGGTTTATTTAAATGATACATAGGTATTGAACAAGAGTAGAAAAACAATGTCACGTTTTAGTGATACGTTAGAAATGAACAAGGGTCAAACAAAGGTGTCACTTTTTAATGGCACGTTAGCAATAAACAAATGGTTCACGTTTTATTGGTACCAAAGAAATACAAATACACGCTCTTTTGGTAATTTAGCAATGAACCAGCGTTGAACTGCAGCTATGAACAAATGTTTAACAACGATGTTACTTATGTTATTGGTACTTAAGCATTGAATGTTAAGCGTTTAACAACGTTGTCCCGTTTAATTGATATTACAGCAATTAACAAACGTTAGATCAAGATGTTACATTTTAATTAGGAAATAGATATCAATTCTGAGTGCATTGTTGTAGAAAAATGCACGGTTTGAGTTCAAATGCGTAGTAATATAATCACGAAGGCCGATAGGCCTGAGTGATTAATTACAAAGCATTTGAACGAAAAACGTGCATTATTGTACAATAATGCACGAAGAATTAATATCTATTTCCATTCTAACACGTCAAGAAAAAATATAATTATTATTTTACAGTTGGACTTTATGTTTGGTGGTTAAATTTGTTTTCGCCTCATAGTTTCCAATAGAAACGTTCTTTAAAGGCTGTTCCAGTGGGTTGAAAAAAAACTGTCGTTAAATCTACCGTGTGTAGAAACATTTTGAGAATAACGAATTTTGAAAACGTTGATAAAACTTTGTTTGTTTATTTTATTTCCGTCTATAATTTTCCAAGCGAAATACAAATTATTAAAAGTGTAATAGATGTAAAACTTAACTCGCTTGCGACATTAAAATAGCGTACTTGATTTTGATTGTTTTGCACGTGCACTTTGGCGCTACATTGTGACGTCACGTAAACAACACTTTAAACGTCTGTACAGCGTTAACGACTGAATTAAAGATATTGGTGTTCGGATTCATTTTCTTAGTTAGACCATTTTCTTTCATTCTAGATAGTTTTCACAACAAAATTCGACAAAAAATTGTTTTTATTTATCAGATTTTTCAAACAAAATGGCGCCCACAATGTGAAAATACACAGGGAGATAATAAGAACGGCGAGTGCATTGTTGTAGATTCTAACACGACCCGCATTTTTCCCTATTGAACATAGAAGAACCGAAAGTGTGTGTTATTATGCTATAAAATCACTGTTTGACGTTCTATATTTAGACATGTGACGTAATCATTATACACGTGACGTAACCACTAAAAATGTGACGCGCTGACAATAAGTACGGAAACAAACCAGGCGCAATTTAGCTAATTATCATGTACGGCAGCATTTATTTGTTGATGTCGTGTTAGAATCGAAATAATATATCCAAATCGGTGATTTTATTGCTTGATAACATCACTGCTTGTCGTTCGGATGCGCATCATTATATCACTCGGGCTACGCCCTCGTGATATAATTCCCCGCATCCGAACTCCAAACAGTGATGTTATTGAGCAATAAAATCACAGTTTGGGATATATTATTTCTTAAATAATGCACGCCTCGGGCCTTCTTTGTTTATATAGAAAAAATTCCGATAGTGTTAGAATGGTAGTTATTTATGTACCTACAAGAGTTAAACAACGTTACCACGTTTTATTTTAAATACTTTTCAGTGGATTACTGATTTATCCGTGAAAATTATATTTTAATTTCACAGTGAAAATTATCAAAATATAATTTCACACTTTTCAATGACGAAACTACATTTGTGTACTTTTTTAAGATTTTCCCCAAGTTTTCTTTCTTTTAAAAAGGTGTATGACTAACAAATCCAAATGATATCCCTCTGAATCAAACACAATTATTTTCCTCCCGTGAAATACTAAAATTTTAAAAATGGCGGCCGTTTACATTTAACAAAGCCAGGTCTAATATAAATTCGCAGTAAGTAACAGAAATATGGATGGGTGGTTGGACTTTTTCTCCTACTAGAATTGTTTATTTTTATTATTAAAACAAGAGATCATTCATATTTTTTTTTAATAAAATGAATAATATCACCGCCATTTAACGTTGATTGTAGAACTTATTTTTCAGCCCAAGACTTCTTGTATTTAATGAGAAATTCGACTAAAATGAGGCTCTCAGTGAGGGAAAACAGATTTTAATATTAAGGTAAATATTAAGGAAATTTCGTTTTAACTTGTTTTTAAGCATAAAATAAAAAGAAAAATTGTTTGTTTGTTGTATAAGGTGTAATTTTATTTCATCTCGTGAACTTTAAAAACAGTATTCTGTATACTGTTTTTAAAGCCCACGCGATGAAATAAAATTTCATGTTACACACACACAAACAAATATCCTCTATTTAATGTTACGTTAGCAATGTGCAAACGTAAAACAATGACACTGCATTTTAAAGCTACGTAAGCACTGAACATGTGTTTTACAATGACACGACATTTTAATGTTACTTTAGCAACGAACAAGTGCTTAGCAATGACCTCATATTTAAATACAACGTTAGCAACGAACAAACGGGAAATAATGACACTACGTTTTAGTCGTGAACAAATTTATGCTACATTTAAAAAACATAATACAGTAAAGACGTGTTTAAGAATTAGAAAAGTAACACGTTTTAACAAAATTATGACACGGTCTCTCGATGGCGTCACGCTGTAATACTTAAGAAATAATATATCCCAAACTGTGATTTTATTGCTCAATAACATCACTGTTTGGAGTTCGGATGCGGGGAATTATATCACGAGGGCGTAGCCCGAGTGATATAATGATGCGCATCCGAACGACAAACAGTGATGTTATCAAGCAATAAAATCACCGATTTGGATATATTATTTCGATTCTAACACGACATTAACAAATAAATGCTGCCGTACATGATAATTAGTTAAATTGCGCCTGATTTGTTTCCGTACTTATTGTCAGCGCGTCACATTTTTAGTGGTTACGTCACGTGTATAATGATGACGTCACATGTCTAAATATAGAACGTCAAACAGTGATTTTATAGCATAATAACACACACTTTCGGTTCTTCTATGTTCAATAGGGAAAAATGCGGGTCGTGTTAGAATATAACATAGAACATGCCCGCTGCGACCTCGAGTTTTAGTCTACGGATGTAATATATGACGTAATTCATACCATATGAAAAACGTCTAAAACATTAAAAAAAAGTTGTAGACTTAATATTTTCCACTGGCTTTCCCTTTCAACAATGAAATTCTATAAAAAGTTTATTATGTAAACGTAATTGACTAGAAAGGAATGGTTTACTTAAGTAATAAAGAAGAAAAATGATACATTGAAATTGTAAACAGCAATCTGTTAAGCATTAAAACCAAGTTTATGACTAGTTTTTTTTATTAAATCGTATTAAATCATGTTTGTTTACTTGGCCTGTTATGGCTTAGAAGTAACTTATATTGATTTTGACACGTTATATGACCCATCAGTATAAAAAAATAATTGTCCATATATATAACCTGAGTCGTGGGGTTTAAATACGTGTTCATGTAGTCAGTCTGGCAAATCTTGATAACGAATTTATAATGATTTTAACATAAAGTCAGTAACTACGCACGTATATATAATTCATACGTCACGATTATGTAAATCGACGTAACAAATAATTCTGTACTCTTGTATGGATAATCGTTTGTTTTATCTACATAAACTGCTGCTATAAATTAATGTACATCTATTAATTTTCAGTTTTCCTGAAGTAAAGGAATCGTACAGTATTACAAAATCGTAATACATATTTCACACGTTATATCACCGTGTAGGTTAGAGTGCATATTGGGTGTTCTTCGTAAATAAGAAAGCTAAAAAGGAGCGGAGCTTGCGAAGCGACTGTAGCTTTCTTACGAAGAACATCCAATATGCACTCTAACCGGCTTAGTGCTCCGCCCACTTGCGTTTTATAATATAAAACGTCCAGTTTATATAAAATCTGTTCTATTAAGATTTAAAACCTGAAAATTTGAAAATCCTCGTCGGTGATTGGTTTAAAAAAATTGGCGAGCACTAACTGTTGTTTCCTATATAACCGTTCAAAATCTTTAAAACAGATCGTATTTTTGTTCACAACTTATGAAAAATAATGCAACAGTTTGTACTTTTATAAAATTTTATAACACAATTTCCGCTATATTTAACTAATTTATTTTTTTTTTACAAATTTTGTAGTATATTTAAAAACTGCACATATTTCATGGTTTAGTTGGTACCAGCACTGAGGATGTCGTTGTTGCCGTATTTGGTGGCACATAAGTTAAAGTTGAACTATCCAGGCTTCCTACTTTCCATAACTTTCTTAGCTTTTCTGAAATATAAATAACGAACAACTTTAAAAAAAGAAGTACACGATAAAGTAATTTGAGCTGCGTGCGCAGGCTGGTCTGGATCCATGCTGGTCGCAAACCCATTATGTTGGTTTTGTCATGACGCGGCTCATTTATCTTATATCGGAGATGGATCAAAATCATGGCCAGAAGAAACATCGAATACATCGAATTTATGCATCTGTCTTGGAAACTAACTTCCTGACTGACTTGTCTGACTAGATACTCCGTTAATGATAAATAACTAACATCTGTAGAGCAACATCCTTTGTGAGACAATGGTTTCGGTTGTTACTTAGAGGTGTTGCTAAGGTAAGTGTCTTAGTTTGGGTGGGGGGGGGGGTGATACTATTGTTGTTAAGAGGTTATTGCTCTACAAGGAGCTGCTCTGTCGAGGTTTAATTGTACTTACTAACTAACTGGAAACAGCCTCCTGTGTTACATAGTGGACCCCCACAACACGCAGAACAAGTTGTCAAACCATTCCGTTTACCAACAATCACCCCGTTAGCAAATAAATTCTCATTCTGTATACGGAATGTTGTCACTTCTATGCAAGGCTGTAAAACAAGCGAGTGTGTGCATAAAATATAATCACATATTGCTAACACAAGTGTCATAAGGTTTGCAACTGGATTGACAAGTTCCTAAAATAACTTTTGAATTAAAGGCTCTGTCACATAAACCCTGACGTCATATTGATAATGTAGAGCAAATGATGGGTCTCTAAAATGTGTCAAACAACGCTATTTAAAACCTGATTCTGCACAACATTCGTGTTGTTCAATCTGAATTATGTCACACTATAATTAAAATCGTCCGAGTCATTTCATAATGAACTTGCGCCGTCCGAATCTTCACAAAATGCATCTTCAGAATCATTCAACATTAAACCATTCACAACAAACAATAATCATCTGAATCATGTCACAATTAATTGGAATCATTTGAATCATGTTACAATAAACTATAATCATCTGAATCATGTTACAATAAACTATAATCATCTGAATCGTGTTACAATAAACTATAATCATCTGAGTCATGTAACTTTTAAACTGTAATAATCTGAATCATGTTAATCATGTTACAATAAACTATAATCATCTGAATCCTGACTCAATTAACTGAAATCATCTGGATCATTTAATCATCTGAATTATGTTACAATAAACTATAATCATCTGAATCATGTTACAATAAACTATAATCATCTGAATCATGTCACAATTAATTGGAATCATTTGAATCATGTTACAATAAACTATAATCATCTGAATCATGTTACAATAAACTATAATCATCTGAGTCATGTAACTTTTAAACTGTAATAATCTGAATCATGTTAATCATGTTACAATAAACTATAATCATCTGAATCCTGACTCAATTAACTGAAATCATCTGGATCATTTAATCATCTGAATTATGTTACAATAAACTATAATCATCTGAATCATGTTACAATAAACTGGAATCATCTAAATCTGAAACATAACGCAACAATTAACTTTTTGTGAATTTACAATATACGAAATCATCAAAAATTAAAACGTACGTCAAAAATAATGCGAGAGAGCTATATCAGCCACACTGTGGTTGTGGGTGATATACTGTGGATGATATGGGTACAAGTAAAACACAGTTTCAGATATAAACTCTTGTAACGTCTGATTCACGTATTGTATTGTGTCATAATAAACGTGAATTCTCTTGATTATTTCACATTCAACTTGTATCGTCTGAATTATGTCAAAATCATTTTGTATGGCCGGAAACACGATACGTTTAATTTGTATGAATCATGGCACAATGGACTTATATCGTCTGATTTATTTCACACAAAAATTGTATCATGTACATGTGTATATCGCCTGGATGATGTCAGAATAAAATGGCATCTGTTAAAATAGTAAAAAAAATGATTCTGCATAAATACAGTATATAAAAGATCATAATTATAAAACTGGACATACGTGAGTTTTAGAACATTTCATGCTATAAGTTGTTATGTTGTTTACATCGTCTTCCTCTTCAACGCTACAAACCTAAAATAAAAATGAGGACACTGTTTCCATTGTGTCAATGTGAGAAAGGGCTAATTTATAAAATACAGTGCGATATCTAATTATACATGTAATTATACCAAAATAAAACACTTGTATAAATTCAACCAAACTTAAACTAAAAGGTTATCAAGGGAGGTAATATTGAAAATATAAGAAGATACAAACCTCGTCTTGTTGACATGTTTCTATTTTGTTACAGTCGTTGAGATCTCGAGTTCTCTCACAATGGTAACACTCGTGTACACCTGCAATTCTTCCTGAAATAAACATTCAAACATGACCGCATTATAAAACATGGAAAGGCGAGAACATGATCATAGTGTAGTGAGAATGTTACCACCATACACAAACAAAGAAAGAAGTGAGAGGTGACAACGATAGAAAATAAATAGAACAGTTAGAACATGGTCACAATATATAACATCAAATCCTGTGGCAATGATACAAAAATACAAAGAAATTTAAGGAGAGCATTGCCACAATACGAAAAATTATGAAGAAAATGGCCAAGATTCCAAACATAGAGGGAAGTGAGAACATGAACACGATACAAAACATTAAGAAAAGAGGACGTGACAAAGATACAAAATACTTTAAAAGAACAACATATAGATCAGTGAAAAAGCAACCACAATGTAAAACATAGGAGAGCTGTTAGAACAACAATGAATACAGCAGTCTTAGAGAACACTATGAACATGACAGAGAACTTCATCACAATACAAAACATATAGAACATTGAGAACATAACCACGATTTAAAATATACAGAGAAGTAAAAAATATAATCACGACACAAAATTTAGTGTGTAGTGAGAACATGACCACGGAAAACATGACAGCGTTTCAAAACATAAAAAAATGAGAACGTGACCACGATATAAGCAGAGAACGCGACGACCACGATTTAAAACATACAGAATACTGAGAACGTGACCAATACAAATTTAAATGGGCAGTGATAACATAACCACTGAGAACGTGACCACGATACAAATTTTAGCGAGCAGTGAGAACATGACCACGGAGAATGTGACCACGTATAAAGCGTGACTAAGATTTAAAACGTATAGAACACTGAGAAAATAACCACGATACAAATTTTAGGAAACAGTGCGTGAGAAAATGACCACGATATAAAACCTAGAGGGAATGAGAATATGACCACGATATGAGCCTAGAGGTAATGAGAACATTGTCACGGAGAACGTGACCACGACACAATTAATAAAGAACAACGACAACGTAATCACAATACAAAACTTAATGGGAAGAGAAACTTGAGAACGTGAGGAAATAGAGGTAAGTGAAAACATAACCAATAGAAAGTGAGGACGTAAAGGAGATAAACATGGTGAGGGCGTGAAATAAGAGAAATGTCTATAATCCAGAACCGACACAGGAGCTAGTAAACATTTAAACAATTATTTGCTTCTTTATTTGTAGGACAGCTAAATACGTTATAATATAAAATCATTTTATTCTTTCTAATCAGCTCAATTATTTGGCCAGAATGTATTAATAAAACACTTACCCAGTCCACACAAACGCTCGTTACAATGTTTAATTCCAACTGTAAATATAATTACACAAAAACAAAATTGCAAAATCTTTAGTGGTAATTATTAGCGTATTTCTCAGAGTAAAATTAGTTTAGAATATAGGACCTTTTTATTATTTCTTTAAAAAATTAATGTTAAACGCCAAATGACGGACAAAAATACGTAATTTGTTTTAAAATGTGCGTAACATATTCTTGCACAAACCGTATACATGTTTAACTGAATTTCTGTTTAAATTGTTTTTAAATGTAACAATAAAGATATCAAATTTAATAACGAATCTATCGCTTTGAATAATAGAAATATATTCAACATTAAGAGATCGCATTTATTGAAAATAAGTTGAGCAATAAAGAGCATAAAATACAAACGCGGTGAAACTTGTTCACTAGTGTCACAACAACGTGAGCAGGCTATGAGAGCACCATCGTCACGTTTTCTACGTCCAGCCGCTTGACATACCTGAATAAATAAATACTCAAACGACGATACAAGTGTGTATATATGAGCCGCGTCATGACAAAACCAACATAGTGGGTTTACGACCAGCATGGATCCAGACCAGCCTGTGCAGTCTGATCAGGATCCATGCTGTTCGCTTACAAACCCTTTAACAAGTGGAGAAACTGATAGCGAACAGCATGGATCCTGATCAGACTGCGCAGACTGGTCTGGGTCCATGCTGGTCGCAAACCCACTATGTTGGTTTTGTCATGGCGCGGCTCATATATTATTTAATCTCCTGGAACATACATGTATACGTGTTTGCTTTCTTGTCGAAAACAAATAAATATCACTGTTTCTAAACAAGCAAAGCTTTCTAAAATTCAGCGAGTGTTTCAATTCAATTTGACTAAAATAAATTGACTAAGGAGAAAACCTACTGATCGTGGCCGACATCCAGCCTCAAAAAGTACTCGGCTTGCAATAATCTTTTCGTCTGTATAACACACCTAGAATATAAATATTGGAATTCTTCAATAATTTTATTTCTTTATAACCAGTCAACGTTACATTATACCAACGAAACGCAGAAAAATACATGTACTCCTATTTAGATTTGTAAATATTGCATGAATTGAATCCTATTATCTAACGCCTTTAATTTATGTCACTGTCAGAATAAAACAAAATTTAAGAACATGTACATGTGTTTAGATTTAGTATTTTATATGAATGTAATCATTGTATATATGGATGATACAGAAAAGATATATTTGGTAAAATTAATCTAATTATAAAGAATACCGAGTTAGGTTCGCAAGTTTCCGTCTCTGTACAGTCTTCTAGAGCTGCTACATTCTTACACACACGACACTGCAGACCGTCTGAAAACGAGGCAAACTATTTAATACTTTACCCGGTGCTGCAACCTAAAGTTCAATACAATTAATTTTTTTATTCATTCGAAACATCTGCTCATATAAACAATTAACACAGTACAAGAAGAACTCGTCAAAATTTACAATATCCAGAGAGATCTTTACAAAGTTTTAATAATATTTAATGTTTTATAATGTGTATATAGTGCTAGAGCAGTAGCACCAAACCATGCAGTCTGTACCACAGGCGCTCAGCACATTTGTCTTTCCAATAATGGTCAAATTATCATAAAATATTTCCCTCTTGATGTATATATTAAACGGATGTTGGGTAGAAATTTTTCTCTCGCTGATCAAGGGGAGATTATTTATGATAATTTGACAATTATTGGCAAGACAAATGTGCCAAATGCCTGTGGTCTGTACGTCCATGATTGCTCAATTTTTGTATTTAGTAAATGTAATCCCTTTATATTATAATGGACTGTTCTTAATTCATAGCAGGGCACTCATTTTGTCAGGAAAGATTTCGTTAATATGATTTCTGTTTCTGTTGGTAATATCGACGCTATTTTCCATTTCTATGAAAGTATTATAATAATGCCAAAATTTCACGAGCTTGTAGTAGATTATTAACTATAAAAATAAAATTCCATATTGTTGATTGGATATTTTTTAAAACCAGAGTATTTTTGACCCATGAAATATTTATTCATTTATTGGCATCAACATTTTTTTCACTGTTTGTGATGAACTTCAAGAGGGTAAAGTTACTATTAATTCAATTCAAGTGATAGGTAAAGCTATACTCACTTGCTTGTACCGGAAATGTTACCAAGGCAACTAGAATAACTGGAAATAAACAATCATCTTTAAAATGTATAGAAAAATCATGTAATCACAATCACAATTTTAGCTAAAATAAAGTTAGTCCAGGGCTATCTAAAGGCTTCTGAAACATATGTCCTGAAAGAATTTTTTTTCTTTAAAAATTGTAAAATAAAACCATAGTTACCTATAAATATCATAATTTCTGAGTGTATTGTTTGACGGTATATGAGTTAGAGATCGTGTTCTTATCTTTACATACATGTACATATCTGTCCCAATAGAGGACGCATGATGATAAGAACAATTGGTTATAAATAAACAAATATAGGGAATTCTATTTGAACTTATAAAAGTCATTATCATTTGTTGTAAAATAATCACAAAAATGGAAAGCGAACTAATTTCTGACTGATATTAGCATATCTTTAATAAATTATATTGCAAAAATACAATTCGACAGAATATTGGCATGTATATCATTCATATACCCACTAGATTAGCACGTGTTTAAACATTCATACGGTCTGGGATGTAATATAACCGGGACAAGAAACTACCGATCTTGGGTCAAAAATACTCCGAGGATGATGTTTTAATTAGACCAGTCAGAGCCGGTTCGCCACTGGGTATCATATTTTCAGAAAGTTCTTGTTATATTTGTAAATAATTCATTTCTACATAAATTCTAGAAATAAATTATGTTGATAAAGTTCATTTTTCCACATCCATTGCTTTCCAACTCATTTTAAATACTAGAACTATCGCTGAATACGATTCATACCCCCACCAATGGCCTTGACAGAAGACGACTTGGAAAGGTGGTTAAGAGAATAACTTTAGTGGCACAAATACATATACATAAAAAGAAATTATCTCTGGTGAAAAAAAGACTACAGGTATTAGTATAAATATATATTGTCAAATCATGTTCGAAACAGTTACAAATAACCTTTCATTTTCCCAATGTACTAGACATTTTCTAAGTCAATTTTTGACCTTCAAGTGTGGCATTGACCTTAAGCTTGCACAAGGGTAAGATGGGTTCTGCACATTGCCCAGTTGGGGTGAACATTTGAGTAAAGTTTGAAGAAAATCCTTCCATTAGTATAGAATTTATAGAGCGGACATAACATATTGTCTAGTATTGATTGTTTGTAAATTTAAAGACTAAAAAAGGGGCATAACTTTATCAAAATGCAATACAGAGTTATGAAACTTGATCTGCATATCTTATTTGTGACACCTCATATATCTTTTAAGTTTCAAGCAAATACCTGTGCTAGTTTCAGAAATATTCAATTACATGTTAAAATTTAAGAACATTTTCTAAGTCAATTTTTGACCTTCAAGTGTTACCTTGACCTTTAGCCAGCACAAAGGTAACATAGATTCTGCACATAACCTTGTTGAGGTGAACATTTGAGTGAAGTTTGAAGAAAATTCTTCCATTAGTATAGGATTTATAGAGCGGACATAACATATTGTCTAATATTTGATTAATGTAAATTTGAAGACTAAAAAAGGGGCATAACTTTATCAAAATGCAATACAGAGTTATGAAACTTGACCTGCATATCTTAATTGTGACACTTCATATATATTTTAAGTTTCAAGCAAATACCTTTTCTAGTTTCAGAAATATTCAAATACATGTTAAAATTTAAGAACATTTTCTAAGTCAATTTTTGACCTTCAAGTTTGACCTTGACCTTAAGCCGGCAAAAGGGTAACATGGGTTCTGCACATAACCTTGTTGAGGTGAACATTTGAGCCAAGATTGAAGTTCTAAAATCTTTCAATTAGAGTAGGACTTACAGAGCGGACACGACATACTGTCTAATATTTCATTGTTAGATATTTGACCTTCATGTGTGACCTTGACCTTGAGCTGACACATGGGCAACATGGGTTCTGCACATCACCTGGTTGAGGTGAACATTTGAGCCAAGTTTGAAGAAAATTTTACAATAAGTGTAGGAGTTACAGAGCGGACACGAAATACTGTCCAATCTTTGATTGTTTGATATTTGACCTTCAATTGTGACCTTGACCTTGAGCTGACACATGGGCAACATGGGTTCTGAACATTGCCTTGTTGAGGATAACATTTTAGCTAAGTTTGAAGAAAATCCTTCAATTGGCATAGGATTTATAGAGCGGACACGAAAATGGAGACGGACGGACGGACGGACCGACATACGGACCGACGGACGCGACAAAGCGAATCCATTATAGCCCCCCCCCCCCACATTTTGTGGTGGGGTATAACAAGTGAGTTGTGTGATAAAGTATGGAAGCGGAAAGGTTACAAAAGAATTCGAGACATATATACTATTGGGAATGTCCCTTGAAATTGTTTTTAATTCTGACTTCATTCATTATTATAAACTATAAAGCCATAAATTCAATACAAAATTAAACCAAAGAGGTTAACTGATCTTGGACTTATTCATCAGTTATAATCGTAACCGAAAATGAAATTCAAATAAAATCCTCGCTCATTAAAATAATGTTCTGTTACGGGTGAAGTATTTGACAGAATTTAATCTACGTTTAAGTCAAGTTTAAAATTAAAGAGTATGTATGTATACATCACTTTAATACACCTGTTAATATAACTTGTTAAGAAATAATTTAAATATTCCATCACATAACGCTTCGAATTACACAGTAATTCAGTGCTTACCTGCTTGGATACTGATTTATATATAATTGGCAAAATGGTCGAGTATACAATGATACTAGTTCTTGTTCTAAGTATTCTGACATGGATCTCAACAAATAATTACTACAATTACACGTATTCAAAACCTCAGGATTGTCAAGATGTTCAAAATTACGGGCACAGTGAAAATGGTGTTTACACAATATACCCGGAAGGAACTTTGGGATTTCCCGTCAGGTGTGATTTTAATGATTCTACTTCCGGTGCATGGACTGTGATACAACGTCGTTCAGCTAGTGACTTCTACAAAAGCTGGAATGAATATCAGGTTGGATTTGGAGATCTTAACGACAATTTCTGGCTTTGAAATCAACAAATTCATATGATTACAAGGCAAGGCTGGTATGAGCTACGCATTGATATTGTATCTCCTAAAAATGAAGTGGCACATGCACTATATAATGTTTTCTATGTCGGTGATGCGAAGTCACGATATGAACTGCTTGTTGATGGATATAGTGGAACTGCCGGGGATAGTTTGGGGACACATAATGGACATAAATTTACTACTAAAGATAAAGATAATGACATACACGAAGGGAACTGTGCAGTGGATTTTAAAGGTGGGTGGTGGTATGAAAAATGTCATTTTTCAAATCTTAATGGTGACTATGGTAACACTCAATATGCGAAAGGTTTGTCCTTGTATCATTGGAAAGGATATTACGTTTCAATGAAAACAACAGAAATGAAGATCCGGCGATGGCAGTCTCCGGATATGGTGTAGTATGGAACTAACACTTAGAGCTGCATCTGTGTATGATAACATTTCAAGCAAACTTGATATCTTGAGAAGGGCTGTTCCAAATTCAAGATCCAGACCTACCAAATTGTTCAGTAGTTGGTCTTATATAGGTTGTAAAGTGAAAATCATATAATTAACGCAAATTGGGAGTATGAACGTCTGACGATAAAATGAAATTATTCAATAAATAGGAATGGATTATTTATTAATACCTTTTTGAGTACAACCCTCTGTGAAAAAAATCATCCAGCGGTGTTCAGAAAATAGTTAAGCAGATGGAGTGTCATAATCTTTGTTACCGGTAACATAAACACCAGTCTGTAGGTCGATAGTATTTGCAAACTTATAGAGCTTACACTTAAGAATAATCGTTTTAAGTTCAACAATGATAATTACATCCAAACCATGGGTACAGCCATGGGTAGTCCATTTGCCCCAGCTTATGCATCTTTGTTCCTGGGTAAACTTGAACAAGACTTTTTACAGACACGCCAACTTAAACCTACCCTATGGTTCCTGGCAGAGATGCATCAGTACTAAGGGTGTAGTACTTAAGTACCAGTACCAGTACTTGGCAAATTATGCAGTACCATTACCAGTACCAGTACTAGATTTTAGCTCGGTACTGCAGTACCAGTACTTTTTTTGGTGAAGTAATTAAGTATCAGTACCATTACTTTTATATATTCATCAAAGTTTGAATAAATACTGTATCAAACAAATAATTCCAAATATTATTCAGCAAAGAAATAAAATAATAATTTACTTTAAAGTTAACATAACATATTTACAACTTTATAGTTTTAACATACTTTTTACAAACAATATTTACAACATATATTCATGTCATATCTAATTGTTTAACTGTAACATCTTTCATTTAAAACACAACAGTCTTTTGTTGCCTTTCACACCTTCACACCTCTGTTCAATTTGTACCAAAGTAAATAACAACTTTTTATGGTGCTAACAATATCACTTTTTTCACTTGAAATGGAATTATTTAGAATAGAAGAAATTAATTAGTGTTTAATTTGCTCTTTTACTAGTAAATACAAAGTAATAAAAGATTCTAATAAGGATATTTTAGGGTAAAGAGTTATTGAGTCTGTTTATCTTAATTTAATTTTTACTTAAAGTCTTTGGTGCTTTTTATGATGAATACTGTGTTAACATTTGAAGGAATATTGCACCAAATTATCTTTAGATTTGATAACTTACTTTTTCACAAAAATAAAATACATTTTGTATAGTTAATGTAATTAACAGCTTTATTAGCTTTATTTTATGAGAAAAATTGATGCTATTTTTTATTTTTAACAAAACCAAAAGTACTGGGTAATGCAGTAGCGTACTCACTTTTTAAGACAGTAATGCAGTACCAGTACCAGTAGTAGGAAAATTTTGTAAGAGTAATTCAGTATCAGTACCAGTACTTGCAAAACCGCTGCAGTACGTACTGCAGTACCAGTACCAGTACCAGTAATGCAGCTCTGGTTCCTGGACGACATATTCATGATCTGGGATCATTCTTTTGATGAATTAAATGATTTTGTCCAGGCCCTTAATGGAATACATAGCTCAATTAAATTCACTTATGACATTTCACTGGATCATATTTCATTTCTGGATGTCGATGTTACTAAAGACAACAGGAATAATCTTTGTACCAATGTCCATGTTAAAAATACCAACATCCACCAATACCTGGATTACTCGTCCAATCATCCCAAAACTTGTAAAAATGGTATTCCATACAATCAGGCTAAGCGCTATCGTCGTATTATATCGGACGATGACCAGTTTGCTAAGTCACTGGACCGTCTCCGTTAATTTTTCATTTCTAGAGGTTACCCTGATAAGGTTATTGATGACGCATTCGGTAAAGTACGTGCTGTATCTCAAGATGAAGCCCTTGTATACAACAGTAACTCCTCTGATGCAAAAAGTGTACCTTTTATTATTGAATATAGTCCGTCTCTTCCCCATATTGGCAGTATCGTAAAAAAAATACTGGGATTTATTTAAGCTATCGCCTAATGCGTCAGTCCAACATTTGCACGAATACAGACCCGTGTTAGCCTATCAGCGTGGTAAAAATCTCAAAGATTTCTTAGTCAGGTCTACATATCCCACAAAATTCCCTGGCCCTGTAAACGCCCATTCTAGCAAATGCCCCAGGCCTAGATGTTCACATTGTACTAGGATAGTAGAAACTGATAAATTTGAAAGTTTTTCTTATTCTTCTATATATCGTCTTAAATTTAATACAGTTTGTACATCCAATAATGTTATTTATTTAATATCTTGTAAAAAATGCAACATGCAATATGTTGGCCAAACTAACCAACAAGTGTCCAAAAGAATGAATAGTCACAGATTTGACATTAAGAATTTCAGTGACCCTGTGAATGCAAGTGGTGTTGCAACACATTTCAACACTACAAACCACAGTGTGGAAGACTTCAGCTTTTTACCTATTAACATTATTGACAATGACATGGACAGACTCGTCCGTGAAACATATGGATTCACAGACTTGATACTGTGTTTCCTTCTGGCATGAACACCAGTGAATTGTTCAAATTGTAATTTTTTTTTTTTTAAATGTGTTTATTTAAGGTCGCCGCCGGAAAGCCCATATGTGCGACCGTATACTCAAGTCGGGCCATCCTAGAGCGTCCCACCGAGATTTTTTCGTCGATTTTTTTCCAGCTTTATTGGTGGAGGAAGACCCCAGGTGCCCCTTCGGGCATTATTTCTGGCACGAGCGGGCACCTGGGTAGAACCACCGACCTTCCGTAAGCCAGCTGGATGGCTTCCTGCCTTCCTCAGATGAAAGATTTCGACCCGAGTGAGGATCGAACCTACAGCGGTGAGGGACCTGTGATTTCAAGTCAGCCACTGTTTTAAAACTTTCTCCCTGCATTTTTAATGTTTTGTCTTATTATTATTTTACACTTTTCTTCATTATTTTTACTTATTTATATCATTTTTTTTCATAAAATATTTCATAATTGTATGCAAATTGTCTATTCTTGTACTTTTTGATGTTTTTATTACCTCCCTTTACTTTTGAAAAAAAATAATTTTCCCCCTTTTATTTTATGATTTTTTTTTTTTTTTACTTATTAGTTTTACAAATTCTCTTATTCATTTATTCTTTTTATTATTATTATTATTATTATTATTATTATTATTATTGGTGGTGTTAGATCTATTGTTATTAGATCTATTATTATTTTTTGTGTTGGTGATGATGATGATGATGATTATATGTAATGGATAATGTTGTTGTTATTATATTATTTTTATTATCTTTTTTATTATTCTAGATAACTTGCTGGCTAATTAAAGTAATGCTTTCTCGCTAATTCCCAGTGAATGTATACATATAAAATTATATGATATATTTTGACATATAGATCTAGGTATGTTGGGTTTTATCATTTTTCTCTGCTTTATATTGTAGAAATATTACGGAATGCCGTTAGGGCCATCGCCTATAAATGTGTTGATCTAAAACGCGATAGTCGATAGTACGATGGTGAAAACGCGAAATCACGAAACTACGATGGTGAAAACGCGAAATCACGATGATGAAAACGCGATAGTACGATGATGAAATCGCGACAGTACGATACTACGATGATGAAAACGCGATAAACTATCGTGTTTTCACCATCGTACTGTCGCGTTTTCACCATCGTAGTTTCGTGATTTCGCGTTTTCATCATCGTACTGTCGAGTATCGAGTTTCAGACCAAACCATTCATAGGCAATGGCCCTAACGGCATTCCGGAATGCCGTAAGGGCCATCGCCTATGAATGTGTTAATCTGAAACGCGATAGTCGATAGTACGATGGTGAAAACACGAAATCACGAAACTACGATGGTGAAAACGCGAAAGTACGATGATGAAAACGCGATAGTACAATGATGAAATCACGACAGTACGATGGTGAAAACGCGATAGTACGATGATGAAAACACGACAGTACGATGATGAAAACGCGATAGTACGATGGTGAAAACGCGATAGTACGATGGTGAAAACGCGAAAGTACGATGATGAAAACACGACAGTACGATGATGAAAACGCGAAATCACGAAACTACGATGGTGAAAACGCGACAGATCTTTTTGATCCTTAATACACTTGTTACTATATATAGTAACAAAATTTCCTATGAATTCCAACTAAGTGTCACGTGACCTATTATGAGTTTGCGGCCCGGTCAGCCCGCAGAACATGTGCACGTGCACAAACCGAAACAATGACGTCATATTTTACGTCATCAAACAGTTGACTGTAAAAGTGAAAGTAGGTTATCAGCACAAATCGCTTTATTTTATTATGAGAGCTAAAGCATATTTCGTACAAACACATTTTTGTTACTATTGAAATTTGAAGAAATAATAGATCTACGACAAATTCATTCCGAAAAAAAAATTTAAAAAATTCTAAATTCAACTGAGCATTTGAACACACAAACAAAAACATCTCTGTACAGAACCAGAACAGTAGAAAAGTAGACAAGAATTTCAATGAAAAAACTTCAAAGTATTTGTTTTTGTTGTTATTGTTTTTTTTAAATGCTTCTATTTGATCTACCAAGTGTATTAAAAACATCAATACACGACAGAGTAGGGCCAGAAGGTGATAATCGGCCCTGAAATGAATAATGCCCTCGGGCTGAAGCCCTCAGGGCCATTATTCATTTTGCGGGCCGATTATCACCTTTCAGCCCTACTCTGCCGTGTATTAATCTCTTAATCTTTGTCTAGAATTAGTCTTGCGGCTCAGCTCTTTTTTGGAACTAAATAATTATGTTAATCTTCCAGGGAAATATGTACATGTGCAGTTACCATAAATTATTCAATAATAGTTAAGATAACAATATTTGAGATGTGGTAAAATATTCGATTGTAAAATATTATACGTACAGGTATAGATAATATGAATATTCTAATGTAACA